AGGCAGGACTGGGAAAGATGTGCTGCTTTGGTTTGGTTTGGTATTTTCCAGGGGTGGGTATGACTCACTTAGAGGCCATGCGTGGCTTCAACATATCTCACATCTCTCATCCCACACAGCACACAAATACAGCCTCATCCATGGAGGCTTTTTGGTTGGAGCTGCTTTCCCAGGGCTATCCAGGAGGTAAATCCCAGCTCTCTCAAGCAGCTGAGGGTGCGGGCGCTGCTTGGCAGCGGCGGGGCGGCTGCTGCTGTCGGGCTGCATTGCCACCTGCTGGGGGCACACAGCCCCTCTGTGAGGCCACCGCCACCCACCCTTCAGCAAGGGCTGTCCCCAGGCCTGCTCCCCTGCCAGGGAAGGAGCCTCGCTGGGCTCCTGCATGTTTCCTGACGTGCTTGTTTGGGGCAGATCTGCTGCCTCCTGCTCTGCTCAATTTTGTCTTCAGACACTGCGCAACGTTGTGAGTTGTAACTCTGGTGGTTTAGGTTTCCTGGTGTGGGTACTGGCCTTCAGTTCACGTTTCTTTGCCAGGTGTAGCTAAAGGGATGTGGGAGACACTTTGGCCAAAGGGCCCAGCTGTTCTGGGCAGGAAGCTGTGAGGAACCTGTGTTGTTCTTACCAATGTAACAAATTAATAAAATAAAATCTCTTGCAACAAATCACCTGTATGTGCTGCGGCCTTGCTGTCTCAGAGGCCAGCTGCATTCCCTTGGGCGTTACCACCAGAAAACCCCACTCAGATCTGGCCAATGTATTACACCGTGGTGGAAAAACGTGAACAAAATAAAAGAGGGGAAGGGGGAAAGGGGAAAGGTGAGATTGTGGTGCAGAGGGTTAGAAGTCAGATGAGATGCGTGCTGCAGGGAAGCGAGGTGTGGCTGAGTAACCTGTGTCAATGGAGCCCTTGGCCAGCAGCTTTGTGCCCTGCATGGCTGCTCCTCCCACGGCTGCTGCTGTGGTATTTTCATGGGCCGGGTAACCTCAGTTCTCCACCTCGCCCAGCTCCGTGTCTGTCAGATGGGAACAACGTCCCCGTTGGGGGCAGGAGGCCGAGCTGGGGTTTGTGGAGGCCGAGCTGCTCTTCTGCTGTGCTTTCTCCCTGTCGGCACAAGAACGGCATCCGTCACGCCACAGTCAGCAGCCTACTCTGAAGTGGTGCCAAAGCGAAACCAGTGTGCACCGAATGACTGCAGCGGCAGTTTGTAAACCGATTTATCAGATGAGCTGTGTGTCTGACTGCTAATGCTGTAGGGGCTGAGGGCTGCCCATGGTGGGGTTTGTTTGCCAATACAGTATTAGCCACAGACTGAGCCTCAGCACTGATCACGGTTTGTGGCCATTTGAAAAGTTAATATGCAGGAATGGGAAATGAAGTAAGTTGGGCAGAGGCAGCAATAACACGTGTGCCCTTGCACTGTCCCTGTGTCACCTCTTCCATCCCTGAGGCTGCTGTCAGCTCTCGAAAGCTGAAACAGCAGGCTCTTGGGGGAGATGCACACCCACAGATGATATTTGGTTAACAGTATTCGGGACGCTTTTCATCTTGCTGATCACACTGGTATACACAGGAGGTGAACACAAACTGAGCCAGATGGTAGCGCGTTCAAAATGTGTTTTCACTTATTCCATGGGAGTATACGGCACTTGATTTTTAAAACAGAGCATTGCCATGAACAGACATAACCATCACCAAGAACTGAGTGTTAATTGTCTACGGTTCTGATGAAGTCCCTCACTCTCAGGTGGCTTGTTGAAGCAGGAGCAGTTGTGTGTTTTCAGGCTCTGTCTGCTCTGGCTCCCTCTGCTTGGCACAAAGATGGGTGGACATGGGCAGCACCACACCCCTGCATGAGAAAGGAAGGGCAACCAGAGAAACTCTGCACTATGCTTCCTTCCCATCCTGGTTGCTCTACCACCTCCCTGAAGAGCTTTACCTTGATAGAAATGGAAATGTGGAAAAAACGGGCTGTATAGGACCTCAAGCAGCCTAATTTATGCTTGTGCTGGAGGGCAGGGTCACCTTTACCCATACCATTCCTGGTAGCCTGGTCTTAAAGCCTCTGGTGCTGGTCAGTCACAGCCTCCCTGAGGCAGCCTGTTCCTCCTTCCACTGGGCAGGAGGGTCCTTTTTTGGGAAGGCTCCACATCCTCTTTCTGGTGGCCAGTGACTAACCTAAGACTAACCTGTGGGACTGTGGGCTCCATTGGAAGGTACAGCAGGGAGGATGCACACTTGGACAGAAAGAGCTACAAAAGGAAGTCCTGGGAGAAAAGCAGAGTCTGCGAGGGAAAGCACAGGACTGGCCTCGACAGACTTGAGACAGGGCAAAATGTGAAATACTCTTGACACTCAGGGGTGCTGGAAGGCCAGGAAGCCTCCAGGAGCCACCAGAGAGGCTATTGTGGTGTATCTTGATCTCTTCAGACATGAATCACAAAGCAGGGCAGAAAAATAACCCAAAGCTTGTTTGTTTCAGCATTTTTATTAAACAGTGCTCCACTTGGCAATTGCGCACCAAGCCCTGACAACCCCCTGATCAGTGCATGAACCCTGGGATGTGATGCTGCACGACACCAGCCTGCATGAACCATCTCCTTTACAGAAGCAGCGCCCAGGAGAAACCCAGGCTCAGAGCAGCGTCCCCACACCAGCCACGCGAGGAGGTGGCGCACAGCAGGCCTCTGTACTACAGATCCACCCCCGCACTGTTTGAACGGGCAAATCCTGCTCTCAAGGCTGTGCTTCCTCCCTTCCAGTCTCCTCCCTGTGTTGTTTAGACCCTCTGAATAACAGGGGATGACCAGCGCTGAGTCTGCATGAGCTTCTGAGGCCTCTGACAGGGATGCCCAGCTCAAAGCAGATGAGCTTCTCTGCGCTTCAGGCTGTCTCTTGATGAACTTCCAGAAATGTGCTGGCAGCAGGAGGCTGGGCTTTTGAGAAAACAGGCAGCCTTCTGGGAATGGTTTCTACTCTTTGCTCCCATGCAGGAGGTTCTTGTGAGACTGGATACGCTGCTGTAGCTAGGCTGCCTTGTGTTCAGGCACATGTGAGCTAGCTGTCAGTGTGCCACACTTGGTCTTCCTGCTTCATTAGGGCTGGAGCAGGAGCGCACCACCTTGGAGGTTGCCCACGCTGCTCTGCAGCTGCTCACCCGCTCTTAGGTGGCCTGAGGCACTTGGCAACTGGGCCTTTGAAAGATCAAAACCTGTATCTGCCCTTGTGCAGGCTGAGGAGCTGCCCTCAAACAGCACCGAGTGGTACGGCTGCATCACTGACTTCCACTGTGCTCCATGTTTAGCTCATGCACAGCACTAAGAAAGTGGTTTACAGGGTCAGGTTCATAATCGCTGCAAGTTAGTGTAGCATCAGCTAAGGACGGAAAAGCATTTATCCCTTACAAGTATCTGGTCTGCTTGACAGGTCAAAGCTATCTAACCTAGGGCAGACTTTCCAGTTGGGTAGATGTGTGCTTGCATATCAAACTACAACAAGCAGTAACAAGGCAAACAAGTGACTCAAATTATCCAGGTTCAGGAAAGCTTATAAAACAAAGCCTGTAAACTACACCTAAACAGGTAACAGGTTAAACACTGACAGAACTCAGGGGAATACATTTCTTTTCCCATGCTGTTGCCCGGCACCACCTAACACCTATAATATCCATACACAATTTTAAATAAAGACTGCAAAATAAAGTTTCAAAACTAAACAGAAGCCAGCAAGCATGCTTAGCTCACTGTTAGGTTGGAGTTTTCCATTAGATGATCAATGCACTTTTGCAAGGTTTAGCATAAGATGGCAAATAAGCACAAAAGCTAGTGGACTGTCTATCTGTCACTGGAAAAAATGCACAGAAGAGCTAAACATAGCCCTTGCCTTTAAAGCAGACAGGTGTAAATTCAGCACAAGGCTTTGCCATGTCAGCTCCAGCTGTGCCACTTGCAATCTGACATTAACAAAACACACACAAAGACTCCACAGTCCATCACATTCGCTTCGTGTGGAGCAGCCCAGCTACCGAGCTGCCTACTCCCTGGGTGCTCAGACTTCTAGAAAACACCTGAAAACAACTTGCAGGGCAATAGTCTCCGTTTTTCATCTTTTGTTTTCCAAAGGCAACTGTATTTCCGCAACTATTTGCCAGCACAAAACAAATAAATATAAATGGACAAAGTTACATTCAATAAAAACTTTCTCCCAGGAAATGGGTTGCAGAAAATAGCAAAACTCTATAGCCAACAAAATACTGTACACTTTCTCCCTGCTCCCACCTGCTGCCCTGCGTTGATGAGAGACACCAGCAACATCTGCATTCTGCCTTTAAAAATGAAACGATGCAACAAGATTACTAGAAATAGTAGAGCACTTGGGCGGATGGATTTACGTTCAGTGAGGTGAACAACGATGAGTTTGAAAGAGGGAGACCAGCAGCTTCGAACTGCTTGTCCAAGTGCAGAAGGATCCAGGCAGGAAACTGCCAAGCTCAGGTTTAGAGTTCAAATGCAGGGAACTTGGCCTTGGTCGGCACCAGCAGGTCAGCAAGAAAGTAAATGGTTCCAGCCATTCCTGAGGAGAAGAAAACACAATGTGGTTCAGAGAGATTCTCTTTGGGCACTCATTTTATCAACTACCCAGGGGGTGAACAAGTCATGAAGAGAGAAGAAAGGAAAACGTTTTCAGGAAGACCTGATTTCTTAGGTCTGAATCCAGGTTTCCCACACAACTTACGTGCTTCAGTGGGGGAAGCATTTTAAAGTTAAATGTTGAAAAGCACCTGGGAAAACATGATGGGTCATCCCCCAACAGCTCCCTCCCCTCTGCTTCACCTGTCCCAAGGTTTAAGGATCTGACTGTCTTTGCAAAACCCTGCTGCCTCAAGCCCTCACTGATGCCCTTGCTCCTCAGCCTGCAGCAAAGCTAGGGATATTGATGTTAGCTGAGGAACAGGCTCTTTCAGCAGTACCTGCTGATGGCAGATTTTGAGGGAGCCATTAGCAAGAGTCACAAAACCTACAAAAGCAGCCCCATTTGCTCCTCGCTCGCCTTTGGAATGAACTGGAAAGCCCATGACATTAGCTTGTGCTACAGAAAGACTGCTTCTGGGAAAGGGTATAAACACCAAACACAGTTTCCTTCCCATCCTCCACACTGAGTTTTGCCAACACTCCAGTGGAGTGTGTATTCGGTTTTCCTTGGTGCTGGACTGGCTTGGATCCAGCCTAGAGATGGAGGTTACCTTCAAAAAGAGAGAATGGCGTGTCTGGAGTCCGGCACCCATGCTGCCCATAGCTTAAACACCACTCTGCAAACTGAGAAGAGAGGAACAGAAAGCGTTCACATTTTGTTAAAGACAGATCCTAAAAGAAATACCACCTCATCCTCCCATTATCTTTTCCAGAGCAAGATTTTCTGCAGGGTATTCTTTCTGGACAGGCTGTCGAACAGTGACTGCGCTGCTGGACTGTTCTGGTGGAGCTGGTCAGCTCTAGCTGCCTCTCTGCCACACGAGAAATTGGTAGACAGATCTTAAAAAAATACCACCTCATCCTCCCATTATCTCTTCCAGAGCAAGATTCTGCAGGGTATTCTTTCTGGACAGGCTGTCGAACAGTGACTGCGCTGCTGGACTGTTCTGGTGGAGCTGGTCAGCTCTAGCTGCCTCTCTGCCACACGAGAAATTGGTCTGCAAAGGCAGTGATGTAAAAGGCAAAAGTGAGTAATCCCCTCTCCCTTCCTCACACAGGCTCTCACCTTGCAGGCCCTGTACAGGTACTTCATGTTCTGTGTGAGGTTGTACAGCGCCAGGAAGCCATAAGCATTGCCAGCTGTCCCATGGCACAGCCCGTAGCCTTTCTTCAGTAACCCGTACTGCCAGATTACTTCTGCACACTGCAGGGCATCGTTTAGGTACTGCTCTTCCCCAAAGACCTGTAGAGACAAGAAATATTCCCCCTTGCTGAGGCGGTTTCCTCCACACACAGAGGATCCCTGTGCGAACGGGGAGGCTTGGCTTAATTAGTTTCTCTCTCACTGGAGTCTTAATGCTCTGACTTTGCTGTCTACTTTAAAGGAGGGTGTTATTGATACGACGAATGGGGCTGTATGACCATTACTGCATACACAACTAGTTGCCACCATCAGTCCTCTGCAACAGGACACCCCACGCAGCTGATGGGTATTTTCAGACATAATTTTTCAAAAGACTACTCTCCATATGGGTCAGTAGTCCCACAACCCATCCTACTTTCAGGCAGGGGCAGGTCTCAACATTGAGTCTTCACCATGATGAAGTTCCACATTTAAGGGGTCCCCAAAGGGTCTCTGCAAGATTTCTGGTACCTTGTAGGCCTGAACAAGCATGTAGATAACACCTGGTGCCCCATGGCACCAGTGCACGAGTAGGTCTCTGGTGTCCTCGATGCATGGAGGGTAATTGCCAGATGGGAACTTGAGCTGGCAGACGTAGTCCACGCTGGGTTTGACTGTGTTATACAGCTTTACTTGGCTCACTCCAAGGCCAGGCTAAGAGAGAGAAAGCGTTAAGTCAGGGAGAATTACCGTTCTGTCTGCCCTAAGAGACCCAAGGTCTGCCTGGAAGGTGGAAACAAAGCCAACTATGGCCACGTTCCCTCTTGCTCCTTGTAAATGAAGTAATTTATTTGGTCCAGGCTTTCGGACATCACAAATACCCACATGGTCCCAGGCTGCTCTGCCCTTCTGCAGGGAGTTATTTCCAGTCATACCCCTGCATCCACAGAAACGAAGCCTGTCCCTAGCATGTCACCTGGCCCTCTAAGCAAGAGGGCTTGCTGCTTCTTCCTGAAGAGAAGTAGGAATGGTTTCAGGTACACAGATTTGGAGCAGAGAGATAAACTGCCTAAAATCAATATTAAGAATGATTCCTAGCACCCAAAGCATCTCAGCTCTGAACTGCTGGGCCAGCCCAGCTGGCAGGTTGTGATGCTGCGTTTCCGCAGATGCTTCTGGGTAATTGCAAGGGGGCGATTTCACCACCGACCTCAGACGGAAGCAAGGGAGTGGCTCGAGTGTCCTCAGGTGACACTGCCCCACGTGAAATCGGTGCAGCTGTGATTTCCCAGGGCAGACTGCAAAGAGCACTCTCATCAAAGGACGACACCGTTCTCAGGTTGGTAACTTGAAAATTAAGAATCTGTAATTGTGCTGTAAAACCATTAGAGATAAAAGTCCAGTGTCATCCTCTATTTCCCTTGTTTGCTTCCCCCAAGGCTTTTTGTGCATCATGCTTGGCTGATCCAGGCTCATTGTACTTCATATGGCAGAGAAGCATGAAGCCCATGCAGTATTTGATGGGAGACTTACACTTAGAATTCCTTAAAACATCCTTGTTTCCTGGAAACAAGCTCAGGGACTGGGTGCAGATTTGGGCTCACAGCACACTGCTGCCTGCCCAGCCATTCTGTACTCCTGGGCAACAATCACCTCACATCTTCCTCTTGCCAAATCTCCTGCTTAAAAAGCTACGACCACCCCCTGTGCTCCGAGTCACATGAGAGGGTTATATTCACAGCAACTCCACTCATCCTGTATGTGAGCTTAAACCTTGAGGCTGCAGAAGGGAAGCTCAAATACTTGAAACCTGGCGGCTTTTTCCCCCACCTGCTGTGAGAGTTGGGTCTCATAAACAGTATCGCCTATTTCTATGAACATTGCTACGTTAAAAGATTTTGCGTTGCTCAGTGGATACTCTTAATGCTTTGAAAAGGCAATGTTATTTATTGCTGCTATTTTTCTAAGAGCTTAAGCACTGTAAATTTATGCACAAAGTGACCCACATAGGGGAATTATCACCCTCATTCCAGAGCCGGGGAAAGGGAATATTCCCAGAGCTCCAGTGAGTTGTGCAAAACTGAGAGAGACAGCATCAAAGCAAAGGGGGCACCGCAGCTCCCAACCTCTTGTCTTGCCCTGCCTGCTTCAGGCACTGCAGAACTCAGCTGCTTTATCAAAGTAAAAAGTGCCACCTCTTTCACATTCAGATATAGGCTCTGATTTGCAAAGGCATTTCCCGTTTTCCTACTATGAACACAATCTCTTTGACCATGCTTTTCTTACAGAGATTCTCACTCTGAAATGATCTGGGATTGCTCCAGGTAACCACCTCAGAAATGCAGGAAGCCCACAGATACCAAGAAATGGGAATACTTTATAAAGCAATTAACTCAAGAGGACCCCTTCCACTCCCCTCCAGTGCCTCTTACCTGCATGAGATAGTAGTAAATCCCAGCCAAACCATGGGCTGCCCCTATGAAGTACTCCTGGTACCACTCATACATCAGTGGGCTCTTTGCTGTAAAGTTCCTCCTTTTAGCCAAGCTCTCTCCTGAAGCTACAACTGCTTCAAAGACCTGGGGATGGGAACAGATGTGGGTGAGGGAAACGCTGCTGTCTTGGACACAACACAGTGAGTTTTTCTGCCCAAGCAGAGGGAAGAGTGTGAAGTGAAATGTGTGCTCATTCAGTACTGCCTGTGGATTTCTACGGATGGTGTGGGGGGTGGCGTGTGGTGCTTTGTCCCTTTAGAAGAAAGGCTACCATGATGTAGTTTCTCTCGTGTTGCCAGAGTTCTCTACATCCAGCATTGATTTTCACCTTCCCAAACATAAGCTGCATGGGAAGAGACAGCTAACAAATCAGCAGAAGCCACAGTACCTGCTGGATGTGACTCAGAGGGATCTTATCTTCTCCGAAGTGCTTGTTCACAAATACCAGCGCGTAGAGGTAGCCCATGCGCCCGTACAGCAGTTCGTCTGGCACTCGTGAGTCAAGCTTGCGTAGGTGGAGCAAACTATAAAGAAAAATTCACATGGGAGAGATTAGAGGACGCTCAAAGCCACGTAACCAAGCAGTGAGACTGGAGCTCAAAAACACGGTGTGTTCCTTAATGCTGCCTGCGCCCCGGGAGATGTCAGGCCAGTCTTTGAGTCTCAGCCTTCCAGTTATGCAAGGTGTGGAATCCCTCCTTCCCTTCTGCTTCTTGTTTGGCTTATTGCTTCGGTCTGCTCAGCTCTGTAAAGTGCAGTCACACCATGTGCTTGTTTCTCAGAGCACCAGCTCTGGGAGAGCTGCCTGTGGGGAAACCTGGACTCTATGAAGTGGTCAGCACAAAGTTGCTGACCGCTCAGGAAAGGATGCCCACCACTGCCTCCCTGTGATGCTGCTGGCAAGCAAGACACTCTGCCTAGAAAGCACAATTTTCAACTGGTATCTGTTTAATTTGGCTGCCCAAGGAATGCTAGAAAGTCAAACTAGGGCTGGTGGTATGTGGAAAAATCTCACCCTTTATGCTCAGAAGTCCCAATAGGAAAGCCCCTTTTCTCCTGCAAGTGGCTGGGGCTATACTGTCAGAGGACAAAGAGGTGCTTCTATGAGCTAGGAAATCTAGGTAAGAAATGGGGAGAAGCACCTGGAAATGTTGTTCAATATCAAGCTCTGTGGTACACGTAAGAAATCCTCTCTAGGGAGTTGAGCAGCAGTAAGGACAGCTCAGCAGAGTGCATGGGCTGTCTGTGGAGCAGCCCCACCAGGGGGTGGCACCGGGCTTTACCCCACAAGTGCAGAGCCAGTGCTCTGCTGCAGTCAGGTATTTTCTTGGCTGTTTTTCTGTTATCATGTTGCAAAGTTGGTGATATTCCTGCAGTGCCAACAGAGACTGACAGCTCCTCACACTGGTGCTTTGTAGCCCAATTCACTGGTGATACAATTTCTCCTTTGTTTGCCTGTCATCACACTTCCAACAAGGCTGGATGTCTTTCCCTGTCAGAGCAGCAGGCAGGGATGTGAGTCGTTCTGGCTTCACTTTTCTGTTCACCCCCGAGACAGTAATCTGAAAAATGCCGTCACTTTTAAAATACCAGCATAAGGGGCTTCAGCTGCTTCTTGCTGTGGCTGCAAGAGGGAGAGGGCTAAGAAACCAGCCAGGAGAGCTCTGTGTGTGTGTGCAGGGCTTCCCCATCAGAAAAGGAGCCTTGGCAACCTTTGCTCCTGGGTAGGACAAGGTGTTGCAAAGGGAAGGAGCAAAGAAAGATATGCTCAAAGTACCCTCGGAGCAGAGAGAGGATGCTGGGCTGTTACCCAACACAGCAGGAAACTTTCCCT